CAAGAGATAAAGAAGAAGGAAGTTTTTCATAGGCAACTGCAAACAGTAATGGACAGTATTTTGAATAGAGACATCAAAATCCTAATGGGTGATGTGAGTTCCAGTCAAACTGGTGGCAGAAAATACCGGAACAGAACTTATCATGGATCGGGAGGCTCCCGTCCGGAGAAATAAATGACAACAGAGAATACAATATTAGTTTGTTTATGAAATGTATCACACAGTGGTACAGTATTATTTACCGGATGACGTTTCGAACAAAATTTATTGTTCATAATCATATCAGTTGATATGATTGGCTTGCGGTTGCGCTATACCGTGAATTGGGAGAAGTTAAAATCCATGGGTCACTGGATCGGGTCCCAGTAGCATAATGGTCTACGAGCTCGCCTTGCAACCAGAAAGTCCTGGGTTCAAACCCCGTGGGTGAGTACTGTGAAGAGTCCCGAACTAGGACGAAACAGCTTTCCAGTACTCCCAGGTTTTCCAGTAGTTCTCTAACCAATGTTAGCTCATGATGAAATCGTATAGCATGTTATAGTTAAACAAAATTAATAGTAGCAACTTTTTAAGCATAAGCAGTAACAATAAATTCAAAAATGCACAAAAAGTGTAAAATTATAATAATATTAATAACTAAAGTTATAAGATAAATGAAATAGTATCATTATATATTGATATGTATCCATATATATATATATATATATGGTGGTCTCTCTTTCTATTACTGTCTTAGTCTGTGACCATTTCACTTTGATGAACCTGTCTCCTTTAACAATGTATATTCCCCTTATATTATATATAATATGTGTGTTTGTTTGACATGTCTGTTATATTTGCTAGGTATATATGGATCGATACTCCATTATAATTAGCCATTCATGTTAAGACTGTCTATTGATTTGTTCACACACTTGTTTGGACATTCATATATATTTTGCTCTCACACTCTTGTGTGATATATAGATATAAATTTGATTCTCCTTGTGTTTGGAATATAGAAGTATCGTCGCAAACCTAGTGGTCTTCTGATTTCCGTCTTTCTTGCGTCAGGACTATTAAATTCTCGACCAGTACATAACAATAATTTGGCGACGAGTACATAATATATATAACAAATAGACAAAGATCAAAGAGACGTTTATTTTGCTAATTACATGGTATGAAATAGGTTTCACGCTTTGCACATTCTATAACATGTAGAATGCGGGCCAAGTAGGATATCGATGAGTTTGTATACTTGTTTGTGAGAACAGATACTCTTTAATAATAACTTATAGTCCTATCTGATGAGAAACAAAAGGAGAGTTATTAGTAAAGAGGGTGCTGAGAGTCAGACAATATAGATTTAGCCTGTTTCTTTCATGCGTTCAGGTGTCTGTCGACTACAGAAGAAATGAGCTGACTCAGTGGCACACCATACGCTCTACTGAAAAACTCGAATACTCTTCGCAATGTGATTTAGTCCTTTTCGCGTAGTCCAAGAAAGACTAAAGGGGAGCAGTAAAGTGCAATAGGTGAGATGCTATAGTTAACAAATTGTAAAAGTAGAAGTCTAGTAATTCCAGATTGTCTTAACTTCTTAATTTAGTTTAGTTAGAACATATATTTAGAAATCAACAAGATATGAGATGGCCAAGAAAATTCAGAAGAAGAAACTATTCCAAGGTATTTTATGCTTAATTTAGTTTCTATTTCAGTGGCCTCTGTCATTACAAGCATTAAGTGAACGAACAAGTTCGTGTAGATCAGGTTTTGTGCCTGAAAGTGAAGTTAATTGTCTGATATTTGAAGGGGGATTCAACGTAAGACCATTTAGCTTAGACTACTGGCTTATTTTCAGCAAAAAGCTATTCAATTTCGTAGGTGTCAGATCATCACCGTATTTAACAAAGCTGATTTCTCTAAAAAGAGACAGACCATGTGAAAAGAAATAAAAAGAAGAGGAGAGATAGTACAGCATATTAAGAGACAATGGTTTCAGTAAGTAAGGTATAGGAAGACCACCTTTATATAAAGTATACTGCATTCTGTTACAGAAATAAGAATGCTACCAGTTGAAAGATTAGTATAGGTTTAAATCTCTATACAACCAAATTATGCATACCTTATCGTCAATAATAATAATAATAATTTGCTTTATTTCAAAACAGTACTTGTGATACAGAATGGAATTCTCATCATTTTACTACAGTATTTCATCCAGTTTGCACATTAACAATCAATAAAGTTCTACATAGATTATGGGTAATCTCAGTTCATTATGACAACAACATATTGGCATGTCGGTAGCAAAGCCAAAATTGAACAGAGTGTTTGAAGGTGTTAGAAAAGTAGATACTAGCATGTTTACTGGCATAAGCGGTAACAAAAGGCCGAGATATACAGAGTGTGAAAGAACGAAGAAGAATGTTTTAAGTAGACTTTGTAAGGAAGAAAGAAACAAAGCAGCACATAACAGAAAGGAGAGAGAGAGAGAAAAGAAAAAGAAAGAAAGAAAACGTTGTACCTATAAATGATGTGAGTTGGAAAGACGAGATCCAGTTGTTCTATTGACTATTGAATAAGTTATAGGTATCAACACACAATTTGCACAGGTCTTCGTGTTGTGCCACTTCTTGTCTTCATACTGTGTTTCTTTGTGTCCCTTTCATGATTTACTTGTATCTTCACAACGCTGTATCACTCGCCTTCTCTGAAGTCAAATGTATCTCCCAGCTATCTGGTGTTTTTATGATGACGAACATCTCTCTACATACTACTCATAAATCTTATCAGTAGCATTCACCACAATATATTATCTGATTTACCCAAAAACATCTTCATAGTCCCTACTTTCTTCTATATGCAGTGTGCTGCGGTACTACTACTTAGGAAAACTTTATCTTGAATTGGTTTCTGAAAAAGTTACCTACCCATGAGGATAAATAATAATAATAACAATAGCAGCTTTATTCTGAACAATGTGTCTGTATTGTACAGAATTCTCAGCGTAAACTGCTGAATAATAGTTTTCTCTTTGTCACCATCTTCGAGCAAAACAGTAACTGAGAGTGAATCTCGTGACACATTGCTGTCTGACCTGAAGCAAAAACCAATCCCTTATAGCATTTCTTCTTCGCCTCCCTCCTTCGAGAAATGCAAAACATTTGGTTGAAAGACGATTGAAAAAGGTGCAGAAGTAAATTTGGCTGAAGGACATGATAATAGATGAATAACTGTAAACTGCAGGTAATTAGTCTTATTTTGATGTGGTTGTGTTCTCTTCAGTTTTCCTTAAGGTGGAAGTGCTTCAATAAGTTCTTGCCCTCTTGAACAGTGTTTGAAGAAAGATATCTCATGAACGTCTTCCGAAAGAATGGATATGCACGGAATTTCATCGAAAGACATATATCCCCAAGCTAACCTATCAGACGAAAAGCCCCAAAGCAAAGCACAAAGAAAATCGCCTTACCATATATAAAGGATATCTCAGAAATCACTACAAGACTCTTCAAACCTTTAGGAATTGATGTCGTACACAAACCAACAAAGTCGCTTCACTCAATTCTATGTCAACCAAAAGACTCAACAGCAAAAGAAGATAAAACCAACATCATCTACAGAATAAATTGTAACAACTGCGAAAAATACTACATTAGCCAAAGTGGACGTCCCCTTTGTCTTCCTATCCTTGAACATAAGCTAGCCGTCAAAAGACATGATATCCACTCCCTCATATCACTACAAACAGACAACCATGGACATCAATTCGACTGGGACAACGTTCAAATATTAGACAAAGGAAATAACAAGAATGCTAGAGAATTTTTAGAAGCTTGGCATTTCAGTGAATCATCAATCAATAGACACATCGATATTGACAAAATTTATCAACCGATAAGAAAGAAACCTCACACACAAAGTGTGAAAGTTCAAGTCAAAGAAACAATCAGTTCCAATACAAGTAACCTAGAAGGTGTGAAAACGCACAAAAACAACCAATCACGTTCAAGGTCACCCACCGGGAGAGATGATTAATAAACTCGTGGAGAAATCTAGAATCTCACTTCATGAAATTGAAGTATGCTCTGAATATGTCGCCTAATAGGGCGATGAAAGCTTCGCAAATTAACTATCCAGCTCAGAGAACACAACCACATCAAAAAAAATCATCCACCTGAGCTACAAATCTTCTCTATCGTATTAGTCTTAGTTCTCAGGCAATCGGCACTTTGTCCTGAAAATCTCATCCACAGTTGTCTCATGTATTGGATTACGTAGCCACCCGTGACTTTGCTTCTTTTCAAGTTTGAGTAGAAACGTGCATACTAACATGACTAGAAAGCACCGTATGAAATCAAATTTTAATAGATTATAACAAACTGAATAAGAGAATTTATATACAATTTAGCGTGATGGAGTATTTTGGTAGCCCAGTGTTCAAACAGGCCACAGAAAATCATAAGGCGTTTTAACACACATGATGTAGTAACAGATATTTCAGTTGTGTGGAAAAATAAATGGATAAAACGTCTTTGCATAAAGCAAGAATGACAGTTTTTGCAGGATAAAATGGTACCATCATTGTTTTATTTCGTTGCTTTCTCATCAGCCCAGGAGGTTACAGCCCAAAGTCATTATAAAGTATATCTACAGAAACAATTTTAACATACCTGCACAGAGTTCATTGTTAAACAAAAATCAATCAATCAGTATATGCACACGATAGTAATATATATTATAATAATAAACACTTTATCCCGAACAATAATGGTCATACACAGTGGAAACTTTTGACATTACGTAACCGGATGAATGAGAGGGTGGAAATGTCTAGTTACCAAGGCCAGAAAAGACTGATAACCGCTTCTTTCTGAACGCATAAATCGGGTTTCAGGCGCTTGAAGGAGATTGCTTCGGCAAAATGAAGGAGGATTGAACTCTTTTGCCTATTGATAATTTTGAACGATTTCGCGACTTCCACCTCATGACCCGTGTCAAGGAAATGTCTGGAGATGGCATTGTTTAGAGCATTTATTCCCTTTAGACAAAGGCCTTTTGGTACATGTTAAGAAAATCGAAGGTATGCTTTTTTTTCTGTTCTTCCAATGTAACTGCTCCCGCATATTTATGTAAATTTTTATATATAGTTGGAGTTAACAAGAGAAGGATATCTATCGACTTTTGATTGTACCAAAGTGCAAGTTGTTCAACAGACGCGAACCAACTTAGCTGCAGAATAGGCTGTGGCTAGTGATGTCTTCAGTCTTCTGTTGACAACTGCTGCGATATCTTCACCTTTAAAATCAAGTTGAATGTAGATAGGATTTTTTCTCACTGTGATTTGTTTGATACTTGAGCTTTCAGATTCCCTGTACTTGTTAATGAACCTTTGAGGGTAACCGTTGCTTTTCAGTATCTTTGAGAAAACATAAATTCTTACTCTAATTTCTCTGTAGAGCATAATCTCCTTGCTTTTTGAACAAAAACTATAAAAATGTAGGTATTGTCCTTCCCATGTCAGCTTTCGGCGTATTGACTTCTGGAGACTACAATCTTCTAGGCATTGTATGGCAGTGCTGAGGAAATGGAACTTTCCATCATTTTCATGTGAAGTAGTAAATTCAATATTTGTATATGCGTCGCTGAATAATCTAAGTGAGAGTCTCATGCTGTACCGACTGAGCTAGCCGGGCCGGGCTAACCGCGTCGGTGGCACAGCGGTTAGGACTCTCGCCGATCATGCACATGGTCTGGAGTTCGATCCTCTGCCGACGTACACCTGATATCTATGGTCGGCCTGCAAAATTTGGGCTACTGATATCACATGCTGAATATTCCATAACTGTACCAAAAATACAGTCTGGAGTCAAGCTGTAATTAAAAAATAAGTAGGTAGGAAGCCTGACTTTCATTGTTGTAGACTAAAAATGTGTCATTGACACATTGACAATAAATGTATGAAAACGTACTTAAAACAGTCATATATAACATCTGATATGATTACACCAACTAGCTGAGGGAATTCAATCTGTAATTGATTACCTCTGTTTTACTGGGGTTTAGTCGATATTTTACATGATATACACGGAAACATCCTGGGATAACTCTCATCCTCATGTGCAAGCAAACAAACACCATCTATCCACCTCAGTCACGAAATCTTGTCTACATCATTTTCCAGGAAAGGTAAGCCAAATTCGTCTGACAAATAGAGAGAGAAAAATAATTATTGCAACAAAAAAAAGTGGTAATTGTCAGTTAACAAAAAGACAAAAAAGAAGGAATTTTCGTTGATTCATTCATTCATTCATTCCAGACAAAATTGATTGGATATCACTATCAACATAATCATCATCATCATATTTGGATACAATGAGATCAGACAATAATAATCTAGCCAGCCAATTCTATCCAGTATCATATTTTGTCCTTTAATTCGGTCATGTTCAGTGAAAAGTTAAACGGGAAAAAAGAGGCTGAGGAAGTAAGAGAAATTTATTGTCCTCTATTTATGGCAGATATTGTACTATGCTCTCTAAGCATACAATTATACCATATATGTGTATAGTATTGGTTTGAAAATGTCTGGTCTAGTCTATCTATCTATTCTGTGTCCAACATTTAGAACTAATTCTGTATGTTTATACGTTTATATATTCATGCTCTCTCCCCCCCCCTGTCGCTCGCGTAAAAGTACACCTACGCGTATAACGCCTACACAGACTAGTTTTCATCCATTCGCTCATTCTACAGTCAGCTAATCTCATTGTTTAGGTGCGTATGTATGTGTATGTGATGTGAATTGTGTATGTTGTATTGTACGTTATCAGCTAGGTAGGTATGTACATTTTTGCTTACTATTGTGCTTAAGTGTGTATATTATGTATTACAACACACAACAATGGATTATTAGTAGTAGTGTTGGCCTTCTCTACATGAGGCGAGAGATAGACATTCGTTAATCATTTTTTGTTGGTTTTTTGGATCTCTATCGGTATCAAGGAATTTATGCATGATGCGGAAGATCACCATGTTTAAAAATAAGACGGCCTAGACGCAACTTCAAGTCAGGTATGCTCAGAGTTTCATACTTTATTTATTCATTCATTCATTGATTCATTCATCTACTGAATAGAAATCTATTATTATTATTATTATTATTATTAATAGTTTTTACACCTTAGGTGCTGCATATTTTGATAGACACCGAATGGACTCTGCTTGAATGAAGTTTTCAATTTGGGCTAGGATACGCAAGGCAAATAAATATCAAAGATTCGTGTAGTTTTATAGTTTTTTTTGTTTTAGCCTAGTGTATATTATAAAGATTTGAGAATAGGCGAATCAAATGTGCCTTAATGTAGGGAATTGTGGGGGTATGTGTGCCGGTAGTACACTCCATGTTCTAGTATCACACTGCAGTTATTTCGTTTGTGATAGTAGAAGTAGAAATCAGGCATGTAGACGAAGTCTAATTGTAGCTGCAGTCACCACCAAGTACCTTCCAAATGACTCTGAACAATCGATCTTAGTAAAAGCGATATTAAGATTGATAAATTTGCTATTTAACTATATGCCCCCATATAATATATAAACAGACAGTATTATTCCTCCTTAATTACTGTCATACAGTTTCTCATTTAAGCAATAAAAGATTATTTAATGCCCTCAGCGAGCTAGGATGCAATGCATGCATGAGGGGCATTCATGATGATTGATATAATTAATCAATTGGTTGCTTCAAGATGATTTAGAGTTATTAGTGGTGTCTGATATTAATTTGACCTTCACTTCCACATGTGAGCACTTCATTCTACCTGTAATTTACATTCCTCTATCCGTGAAAAGCTGATCGCCTAAGTTTTGCCTTCTCAAAGCGATAAAATTAGGAGTAGTTTGGTTCTGATAAAAAAGTAATCAATTTCTAATGTTGTTTTCTATCGTAAGGAAAGTCATTTTCCGTCCTATATTTACGTTCTAACGAATAAGTATCGTTAGTTATACAATACAGGATTTCAGAACACAATTTATGCAAGCGAACACGTGTTTTCGGTAAATTCTCAGCAGGCTTTACAGTTACGTAATAAAATATTCATAGACATTTGAGACAATGTGGTTAGGCAGAGAGGCCGTAAAGTTAATCAGGAGTTTCATACTGGCACACCCTGTGGATACGGAACAAAAGATTGATTTGATTTCCCCCTTTGCAATTCTAAACGTAATGCCACCTCAATTCCTTAAGTTTGCACACCTTCGATTATGAAGCATAGCTGAGGGTTTGTGTTCAGAAAAGTGTCCGTCTTATGGTCTTCGACCCCGACTTAGAATTCTTAACCGGGTTACTATAACTATTAACGTCCTAATTATATTCTCCTTGATTAGATTTGATTCTATCAATCCACATTCTTTCAAATGTCTTTGACTAATTTATTATGTAATTATAAAGCCTGATGAGAATTTACCGAAAGTACGTATTTGCTCAGTGAAATGGTCTTCTAGGAGTTCCGCACCATTTTCGGGATTTACATTGTTTAAAATTTCTACATTTTCCTAGTCAGAAATAGATGTCCATAATTGTTTACAGACATCGATATGAAAGAATACATATCGTATCTTTTTACAACGATAGATGTCATTGCTAAACTAAGGCTGCACATTCATCCTACAATGGAGTAGCAGTTTCCTTAGTGTTTTGGGTGATATATCCACCTTTCATGTCATTTTCTCTCAGAGATTCACAGATGAAGTTGATGGTTTCTAATAAAGGAATTTACCGAAAATACGTATTTGCTTGCTTAAATCGTGTTCTGAAATTATCCTAATATGAGTAAAGGATTTGTAGTATGTGTAGCAAGTTTTATTGTTATTACAACTGGCATCGTTTTAAGTGTATTTACATAGATGACATGAAGTTGGCAGTTATCAAACAGAAAGAAGTGGCCAGGAAAACTGTAAAACTTTTTTAAAGTGTGCTCAGGACATAGTGATGATGAACTATCTGACGGTATGATTATGAATACCTACCTGTACATGTTTATGTTACACGAGCCTTTTCAAGGCTCTAGAATATCAAAGCCTTGTTATGCTTTGTGTGACATTCCATATCTTATTTTTTAAGAGAATGTGTTTCATAGAAGTAGTCTTTGCCCCATCCAGTCGTATCGCATTCTTTGTCAACATTCTGAGTCATTATTATGGCTACCCAGCTAGCTTGTGTCACTGGGGTGGGGGAGAGCGGTAAATTGAGACCTTTTAATATCTAGGGTGGAATTCCTTCCCCATTGGGATGACTTGAAGAATTGGGCCCGTTTTGTTAAAGTCACACGTTTGTTACATCCTTAATGCAGTAGACTTATTTGAGTTTAGTTAGTTAGTCATGATAGTTATTCGTATGATTTTATTACCTAACGCTAATTTACTCTAATAAAGTTATAATTTGGTTTCGCATTCTATATGAACTTCTTAGATATTTTAGTGATTTCATTAGGATATGTATTTGTTTGGAAGTGGATAGAAGTGGAATCTAATGATGCAGGTTTCATTTCAATCAATAATTGTGAGCTGGATACACTTGAGTCTCAGTTTTCTGATGTACAATAACGTTTATGTTTTTTAGTGGGAAGTGCTTCACAATTTCGCTTACTGAAGCTGGTGTGCCTTGAGGTGCTGATATTTTCTCCATTTCTTCTTTTGGTATAACACTTATCGTATTCCTTTGAAACCGATTTCACTAATATTAGCTGGAGATTTGACAACTTTTGTCTCTTAATTGTGGTTTCTGCATTAGTTTGTTCTGATATGAATAGTTTCCTATGTAAGGTTAACCAGTGTTTTTATTCTGATAGCCTTAAACTGAATCCCTCTAAATGTTAGGCTGTTGGTTTTAGTTTAAGGTGTGGACATAACTTGCGTGAACTGATCCAATTGCGTGATTCTTATGATATCGACGGCACTCTGTCAGGAAGGAAATCAGTATTAGTTTCTCTTCAATTCGTTGTTGGCCGTCTCATATCCTGTTGATTTCTATGAACAGTCTTTTGTTTGACTTATTTTATAAGGAAGTTGAGACATCCTGACTTAACTCAATCTTTCCTCTTAGATTTTTTTATTTCATATATTTTATCTCTTCTTTATTGTCTCGCCATTTTCAGTAGGATTTCAGAGAAAGACTATGCTATATCATGCAAAACTTTGAAGGCTGTAAGCGAGGTTTAGTGGTTTGCCTTTAACCCAACTAACTGACGTTGTTGTTAATATGCATTTTAATTCCTGAAAGCAGTTAGCTTAAGTCGTCTTGTCACAAGCTGAGCATCCTCTTTATTCACACCTTTCTTCTAATATCTCTTTTGGTTGTTGTGTGGGAAGACAAATGTCAGGAAAGAGCCTCTAAACCTCCTTTAAAATTTGTAAACAAACAGCAAATTATATCCAAAACTGTTATTAGATATACTTATTTCTCTATTAACTTTCAGCTCTTGAGACTTCATTGTTTTTTATTACTTAATGTGTTCTATATATTTATAAAAGGAGATAAATTATCGCGGTATTTATAATTCTGAATATTCCATTCTGTGTAAACATTATTGCTTGGAATAAGGTGGTTAGGATTATTATTATTTTACGTTAGTAAAGATGATTAGAGTGGATACGGCTTTTATTCGATGCAGATGCATTCATCTGAAGTGTCAAAGGTCGAGAGTGTTCAGTTCACCACTAATGCTAGGTATCGTCACATAAATGATGCTAAAATA